TCAAACTGACAAGCTTCTGCAAAGCCAAAGAAACCATCAAGAGAGCAGGGAGACAGCCCACAGACTGGGAAAAAATATTTGCCATCTTATGTCTGACAAAGGCCTAACATCTAGGATCTACAAGGAACTAAAATGTGCTGAAAAGAAAAAAACAAACAGCCCCAATTACAAAGTGGGCAAAAGATATGAATAGACACTTCTCAAAAGAAGACACACAAGCAGCCAACAGTTACATGAAAAAATGTTCAGTCTCACTACCCATCAAAGAGATGCAAATTAAAGCTACACTGAGATACCACCTAACTCCAGTCAGGATGGCCATCATCAATAACTTAAAACAACAGATGCTGGAGAAGATGCAGAGAACACTTCTACACTGTTGGTGGGAGTGTAAACTAATACAACCTTTATGGAAAACAGTTTGGTGCTTCCTAAAAGATCTAAAAATTGACCTTCCATACAACCCCACAATCCCCCGACTGAGAATATATCTGGAGGAACTCAAATCACTCTATGAAAAAGATATCTGCACATATATGTTTATTGCAGCATTGTTCACAATAGCAAAAACATGGAACCAACTGTGCTGCCCATCGAAAGTGAGGACAGGATAAAAAAATATGTGGTACATATATGTGATGGAATATTACACAGCCATAAAGGACAAAATTATAAACTTCACAGCAACTTGGATGAACACCACAGCAACTTGGATGAACTCAGAGTCTATTAATACTGAGTGATCTACTGCAGAAACAAAGAATTGAGTATAACATGTTCTCACTCATAAGAGAACCTTGAATAATTATCATAATACTATAAGAAAAGGATTGGCAGTAGCGGGAAACTGTTGAGGGTGGGGGGAGGCAGGATTGGAAGTAGCAGGAATCTATGGGGGGCGGGGTGCATACCTCATCAACAAGGGTACCTGCACAATGAACATTTGTGTACCTAACCCTGAATTGTGAATTGTACCCCACATCTTTAAAGTAAAAAATAAATAAATAAATTAATTAAATTAAATTAAAAAATAATAAATCAAGAGTTGTGAGTATATTAGATCTTTCTCAAATTAAGATGAGTATAGCATGCCACAGTATTCCATATCAGATGATTTATGTTCCTAGACCATTAATATGTCATAGAGATAAATGAAAAATGCTTTACCATTAACAGAATTGTAGAATACTGCTCTTGTACTTTTCACACTGCTGGCACTGCCCACAGAGCCTCCAACATCCCATAATTCTATATAGTAGGTCTTCTCTTCTGGGGTTCCTTCTTTGTAGTCATGAACCTAATAAATCAATCAATTACAATAATTATTATAGCCACTACACAAACTGGTAAGCCACTTCATTCCAATTTAAAGTATCGGACATTCCATATTGACCTCTCACTCGCTGACTCTCTGGTTACACCACCTATTTTTCTTTCTTTTTTCCCAGCATATTTAAAATTGTATTAGCATACAAATTCAGAGAAGTGCATATAATTGTACAGCTTGAATAATTTTCATAAATGAATATACCCACGTAAAACAGACCCAGATAAAGAAACAGAACATTATCAGTTCCCAGAAGCCTCCATCATGTCCCCTTGCAGTCACTACTACCCCCCAAATGTGACCCCAATTATGACTTATAACAACATAAGTTTGAAGAGTGACATAAAATGATGATTCTGTCCTTTGACTTTGTTTAAATCCTTAAATTGCCATTTTAGAAGTAGATGGCTTAGACTTTTTTAGGCAGCCAGGCTGCTGGAGTTGCTGGCAAGGGCTGACTCATTAGGCTATGGTATCATTAAAGTAAACAGAATTTATGTATTTTTAAAAATGTATTTTAGACTCGTGGGGTAAATGTGAGGATTTGCTACATAAGTAAATTGTGTGAAGGTGAGGTATGGGCTTCTAGTGTGCCCTCTCTCCCCCAGGTAGTAGATATGGCACCCAGCGGGTGGTTGTGTGTCCCTTCTCCCCTCCTCTTTCAGCAGTGCCCAGTGTTCATTGTTCCTACCTTTGTGCTCACATGTCCACTTATGAGTGCACCTCCTATCTTTCAAGCATATTCTCTTTAATGCTCCAACATAATAATCTTTGATCCCAGAGAACCCTATAGCTAATTCATCCTAACATCTTTCACAGCTTCCCTTTCTACTCCAAAAGTCTCACTTCCTTACTAACTAAAGTATATATCCCATGATCCCTCATGAGAGTCACTCCTCTGCCCCCTCTCACATAGCATTCATCTGACAGAACTCCAATTCTGCTCATAACCACCTTTTCCCCTATCCCAGTCTACAACTCAGCCAATGTGGAGCTCAGAAAAACATGTTCAAGCTGACTGGATTCTTTTTAAAATTAAGTACATCTTTGAAACTGTCCTTCAATCAGTTCCACAGCCTATTTACCCTTTTCCTCTCTCAAATAACTATTTCATACTTTCTCATCCTATTAAACTTCCAATATCTTTTCTCCATCTTCAATCACAGCTAATAAGCTTGCTTCCAACAAGACACAATTAGAAAGAACTTCTACAACCTGCTCTTCCCATATAATCTGTGACCTTCATCTGTGCCCATATAAATCTGCTTTCCCTCCTGTTATTAGCTTAGACTGTCTGTATCCCTAAGGCTAAATCCCATCCCTACCTTCTTACTCAAAGATGTAGTCTACCAGTTCTCCCCTCTCTCCCTTATATCATCAAATTTTCCTTCTGCTCTATAATTCTCAACAGCATACAAACACGTCATTATTTTTCCCATCTTAAAAAAACAAAAAAACCTTCCCTTGATCTCATATCCTTCTCTAGCTTCCTTGCCACTTTTCTCTTCCTTTTCACAGCAAAAACCCTCTAAATAGTTTTCTACTCTCAGTTCTAATTATTTTCTTCACATGGTCTGTTATGCTTATTTCTATCAAACTTTTGCCTCAATCACTCCATTAAATTATTCCTTGTCAAGGTCACCAATGACCTCCATGTTGCCAAGCCCAATGGTCAATTCACAGTTTTCACTTTACTCCATCATTTGACACAACTCATCACTCCTTGTGCCTTGCAACACTTTCTTTACTTAGCTTCCAGGATATCACACTCTCCTGATTTTTTTTCTATCCCATTGGCTAGTCCTTTCAGTTTCCGTTTGGGTTCTCCTTGTCTCTCTGACTTCTAATTGTTGGCGTGCCCTATGGTTTAGATCTTTAGTCTCTTTTCTTCTCTATTAATACTTGCTCTTTTGGCAATTTCATCTAATCTTATAATTTAAATTAATGAATGAATTAATTTTACTTTTTTTGTAGAGACGGGGTCTTGTCATGTTGACAGGCTGGTCTCAAACTCCTGACCACAAGTGATCCTTCTGCCTCAGTCTCTCAAAGTGCTGGAATTACAGGCATGAGCCACTAGGCCCAGTCCTAATCTTATGATTTTAAATATCATCATTATGCTGATAAATTTCAAGTTTATATCCATTCTGTGAATTTCAGACTACCATATCCACCAGACTACAATTTGAATATCTAAAAGGCACCTTACACTTAACACATTCACAAATAATTTCCTAATCTTTCTCCCAAACCTACTCTTCTCCTAGTTTTCTCTGTCTCAGTAAAAGGCAATTATATCCTTTCCAGTCATGGGGGCCAAAAGATTAAGAGCGACTCCTTTCACATTGTACATCTAATTTGTCAGCAAATCCTGTTGCTTTGATCTTAAAAAAATACCCCAAACTGTTCATTTCTCCCACCTTCACATTATCACCTGGCCAAAGGCTCTATCTTTTTGCCTGAATTAATGTAATGGTCTTCTAGCTGGTTTCCCTACTAGAGGAATCTCCTAGCCCCTCTGTTTGTTTTCCATATAGTAGCCAGAGCAATTCTTTTAAAATGCAAGTTATACACCCTTCCGCTCAAAACCCTCCAATGACTTTCTCACTCAGAGTAAACTCCAAAGTCTCTCTTTTTCTCAGGGTCTAAGCTCTATAGGCATTTACAGCCTGTACTATATAACAATTCAGATACAGTAATATATGGCAACCAGATTAAAGTATGCTGGTTCTATAGTATACATCAGAAACTTCCAAGAAATAAACATGCCAGTCTTACTGAATCAGGAAATTTGGGGTTAAATCCTAGGCATGCATATTTTGAACAAGTTGCCAAACGATTCTGCTGTAATCCCCTAGTTAAGAATTGCTGATTTTATAGAATGGAGCTATTCTGGTATCAGGCCTAGATTATACTACTTGATTGCCACTCATCATCCCTATTATCTTTGAGCCTCAGTTTATTTGCCTGTAAAATAAAGCTCTATTATGTGATTTCTAAAGTATCGACTGGCTTTGACATAATAATTTTTTAAAAAGATAGCTTAGTAGTTAAAAATAAATGTCATAAAATGCACTAAAATTCACATACTGTAGTCAACAGAATGCTTTATACTTTTACTTATTCACAATTTTTAAAATCCAAATCCTTTTGACCAATGAAAGGTTTAAATAATTATGGTACTCTATAAACAAGCACATTAACATTAAGAAGACAATTTTCAGACTGACAACAAAGACAATAGAACAGTCATAGTGTTGGGTACCATTTTAGATAATGGAAATTAATCCTGTTTACTGCAATAAAAGGCATCACTATTTTGCTATGTGGCATAAATAACTGATAATATGTGATCATGTCAAGTCATCAATAAAAAAGTTAAACTACATGAGTTCTGTTTAAGAAAGCAGGGATATATATATATATTTTAGTAAGGTTTCTGAGAGAAACAATATAAGGTGTTATAAGGAGTAAGTTATCTGTTATGAAAAAGCTCAGCCAATTCAGTAAAGCTTTCCTGATCCTACCTTCCTCCTGGCCCTAAACCAATCAGGGAGGTTTGATACTCTTCTTATTTGCTTCCATAACATCCTGCACACCTCTATAATTTCACTATGCATACTGTCTTATTTACCTGCTAGCTTCTGTTAGACTCTGAGTTTAAGGGCAGGGACCATGTATTATTCATTTCTGTAGCCCTAGAAAACAGCATAATACCTAGCATATATTAGATGCTTGGGCATGTTTGTTAAATTAATCAATAAATAAATTTAGGCTATCTCACCCCCCGAGGTTTTATTATATTGCTTATTATTTTACTGAAGTATAGTACTTCTCAAGTACAGTCCTGAGAGCAAACAAAAATCAAAACTAATAGGAAGTTTGTTGAAAAATATAGATTCCTTGACCATCCTTGAAGCTTCTGGGATGAGGCTTAAAAGCTGGTCTTTTTTTAAAGCTCCCTGCATGGTTCTGATATAATCAAGTTTGGCAAGCACTATAGTATACCGTTTTTTCTCTAAAATTATTTCAAATGTCTAATGTTGCCCATCCTAAAGACTATAACTCCTCTGAGAAAAGCCACCAGTCAATACAAATTCCTAGGTAGCATGCATGCCCTTTTACTAGCCTTGCATTGTATGAAGTCTGTTAGCCAACATCCTTCAGATTATGCATATTCTCAAGACAGATATGGGGACTCCTCAAAAAGTGGAATTCTCTTTTGGAAGGTGGCCCCTTGTAGTACACTTGGAATTTGTTCTTCTGAATCAAATGGTCAACCACAGTTTTTATCTGGAATTTTTGAAAAGATCACACCATGATTTGTGGAAGAAACAGGTGGCTGGTTCTTCTACCATGACAATGTACCTGCCCACACCATGCTTGGTGTTCAGCAGTTTTTGACCCCAATAGCATGACACCCATGCCCCACCCTCTCTATTCACCAGATCTTGCCCTGAGTGATTTTATTTGTTTGTTTGTTTTCCTGGATGAAAAAAGTTCTCAAAAGGAAATATTTTGCCAATGTGGAATAGGTGAAACAAAAAATAGCAGAAGCATTAAAAGGCATCAAAATCGATGAGTTCAGAAACTGTTTTGAGCAGTGGAAAAGTATCTTGATAGGTGTATTGCACCAAATGGAGAGTACTTTGAAGAAGACTGAAATTTAAACATGTAAAAATAAATACACAGGCCGGGCTCAGTGGCTCAGCCTGTAATCCCGCGGCCGAGGTGAGTGAATTGCCTCAGCCCGCAGGTTCGAGACCCGCCTGGGCAGCTTGGCGACACCTCATCTCTAAAATAAATAAAAAAATTAGCCGGGCATGGTAGCGCGCACCTGGAGTTCCAGCTACTTGGAAGGCTGAGGCGGAAGGATCACCGGAGCCCAGCAAGTTGAGGCTGCGGTTGCCGAGAGTGGCCACTGCACTCCAGTCTGGGCGACAGAGTGAGACTCCAACTCAAAAAAAAAC